AGAGATCCGTCTGCCTCTGCCTCCCAAGTGCTGGGATTAAAGGCGTGAGCCACCAACGCCCGGCTGCCATCTTTTTTTTTTAAACTCAATTTTATTTAAAGGATTTATTTATTTATTATATATACAGTGTTCTACATGTATGTCTGCAGGCCAGAAGAGGGCATCAGGTCTCATTACAGATGGTTGTGAGCCACCATGTGGTTGCTGGGAATTGAACTCAGGACCTCTGGAAGAGCAGTCAGTGCTCTTAACCTCTGAGCCATCTCTCCAGCCCCTAAGGATTTTTTTTAAAGATTTGTTTATTATGTATACAGTAGTCTGCCTGCATTCATATGTGCAAGCCAGAAGAGGGTGCCAGATCTCATTACAGATGGTTGTGAGCCATTGTGTGGTTGCTGGGAATCGAACTGAGGTCCTCTGGAAGAGTAGTCAGTGCTCTTAACCTCAGAGCCAAACATCTTTTTTAAAGGGTTAAAGACCAGCCTGATCTGTACAGTGAGACTTGAGACTCCATCATACACATACACACACACACACACACACACACACACACACACACACACACACTTTACTTATGTTAAAAGTAGGTTTCAGAATTTAAGTTTATTCTGAAAATCATCATGTGCAAGGCTTTAGGTCCAATCTCCAGCACATACACACACACACACACACACACAAAAGAGGCAACCTTTAGGGCTGGAGAGATTCAAGAGTACTCTGTATGGTTTTTGCAGAGGACCAAGTTCAGTTCCCAGTACCTCCATCAGACTGAAACTTCAGTTCCAGGGGCTTCTGATTCCTCTGGCCTCCTGCACAGACATGCACATACACTTAATTAAAAAAAAAAAAAACCAGCCGGGCATTGGTGGCGCTTTAATCCCAGCACTCGGGAGGCAGAGGCAGGCAGATATCTGTGAGTTCGAGGCTGGGCTGGACCAACAGCCTCCAAAACAATACAGAGAAACCCTGTCTCGTAAAAACAAAAACAAAAAAAAACTTAAAAGAAATTTAAAAAAGCAAGGTTGCTTAACAAGGCAGTCAAGATTATGTGGAAGAGAAAATCATTCCTGGTGAAGAGGCTTCCCAGGCTCTCTGGTGGAGCTGGTCTCCAGCAGGGGAACTAAAGAAATTATCTCCAACCAACCAACACCCAGCAGGGACACAGTTTCAGATCCTCCATCAGACATTCTCTCTGCTCTGGCAGGAGCAAACACTGACTTGTTCTTTCAATGGGCACGAAGGCCAGGAACACGGTAGTGTTTCCACAGGAAGTCTACAGAGCCAGAAGTGAACTATCCTGTTCAGAGCAAAGGACTCGTCACAGGACACTTTCCTGTCTAAGCTGGATGTGATCTTCACCATAAAAACAAAACAAAAACTCTACATGTTAGACTCTACTGATAAGACTTGGCAAAGTTTAGCTTCAGCCAAGATTTTCTTTCCTTTTTCCCCCATTATTTTATGTGTATAAGTGTGTGTGTGTCTGCGTGTGCTCCAAGTGTCTGAGGAGGTCAGAAGGAGGCTTTGGATCCCTAGAACTGTAGTTATGTATGGGTGGCTGTGCTGGGAACTGAATCCAGGCACTCTGTAAGAACGGTAAGTGCTCTTAACATGTGAGTCATCTCTCTAGTTGGGGGAGAGAGGTTCCTTTTAAGTCAGGGTCTCTTGTAGCTCAAGCTGGCCTTGAATTTGCTATGTAACCAAACATGACCTTGAATTCCTGATCATGGTCTTTCTACTTCACCCACCATGCCCAGCTTTCATCTCTCTCTCCCTCTCTCTCCCTCTCTCTCTCTGTTTTGTTTGGGGGGAGGTTGCAAGATGTGAAGGTTTGGGGAGATAAGTAGGATCAGAATGCATGATGTGAAATCCACAAAGATTCAATACAAGTTTCTTTTGTTTTTTAAAAGAAAGAAAAGAAGCCGAGCGTTGGTGGCACACGCCTTTAATCCCAGCACTCGGGAGGCAGAGGCAGGCGGATCTCTGTGAGTTCGAGGCCAGACTGGTCTACAAAGTGAGTTCCAGGACAGCCTCCAAAGCCACAGAGAAACCCTGTCTCGAAACACCAAAAAAAAAAAAAAAAAAGCTGACCTCAAACTTGCAGTTATACAGAACCATACTGGACATACCAATACTTTCTTAGGCAATTCTAGATCATGAGGTCATGACACAACTTCGATTCTATTAATAACAAGTGTACCTGTGCAGATGCACTGCTGGGGTAAAGCCCAAGGCCTCTGAATGCCAAGCAAGTACTCTGTCCCTGAGCCATACAGCCAACTCCAGTATCACTAGCAAAAGTTCAGACAGCCTACGCTACTACCCCAAGGAGTCAGCAGTATAAATCGTCTAGGCTCAGCCAACTCCAGTATCACTAGCAAAAGTTCAGACAGCCTACGCTACTACCCCAAGGAATCAGCAGTATAAATCGTCTAGGCTCAGCCAACTCCAGTACCACTAGCAAAAGTTCAGACAGCCTACGCTACTACCCCAAGGAATCAGCAGTATAAATCGTCTAGGCTCAGCAAAGTTTCCTGAGTGTGGTTTTACAGTCTATCTCCAATTTCCACTGTCAATTCCAGACATAAGGGAAAATATTTGAAAAGTTGTTTGTTAATAACCTCTCTCCTTTGTTGAAAAGAAATCTGCTGTGTTAGGTAAGACAGTCAAACAGCTATATAATTCAAAGGAAAAAAAATCTCAGGTGATACTAGGGGATCTATAGTCAAGTCTTTCATCAAAACAGTATAGGAACTGGAAAGTTGGCGAGAGGTGACAGTGCGTGGGCACAAAGATCTGGTGGCTAGAGTTCCATCCCTAGACCCAGAACTGACTTCACAAAATTGTCTTCTGACCTCCATAAAAAAAAGTTAAGCCTGAAACCCTGGCTTCTATCTTTGACATAGTGCTGCATACCTGTAATCCTAGCAGCAGGGAGGTGGTAGGAGCAGAACGTTAGAGTTCAAGTTAAAAAGACCAACTTGCAAAAGTAACAAAACAAGAAAGTGCACGCCCAGTACAAATACAAAGGGATATCCAGGTTTGGTGATCCATTCCAATGAGACGCTCGAAGGGCTCAGGCAGAAGGGTTTTGAGTCTGGGGCTGGCCTGGATTACTGGGTTATCCCAAGAGTGAGTGAGTCTCTCTCTCTCTCTCTCTCTCTCTCTCTCTCTCTCTCTCTCTCTCTCTCTCTCTCCCTCCCTCCCTCCCTCCCTCCCTCCCTCCTCCCTCCCTCCCTCCCTCTCTCTCTCTCTCTCCCTCTCTCTCTCTCTAAGTATTAATGACTACCTTTTAAAAAGCCAGGCTTTCACTGCCTTTTACCAACAGTGACAAAAGCAGCACTATCTACCTAGGGCAAGAGAAACAGTGACTCACACAGTCCCCTTTGATGACAACTGAAAATTAAAGAGTTGGGTTTTTTTTTTTTTTGGAAGAAAAAGTCAGGGGGCAGGATTTTAAAATTACACTTTTAAGGTTCAAGTCCAGGAGATGAAAAAAAATAACTGCCATCCGGCTCCAATATCAAAGTCAAGTCCTTCTTGTTCCCTAAAACCATGAATCATGGGAGGCAGACAGAGAGTTCCAGTCTGACCAAGGCTACATAGGACCTGTCTCCAAACAAACAAACAAACAAAAAAATAAAACAACAAGAAAGAAGAGTAAAACAAAAATCATATCACCATGAAATTTACTTCTCTAAATACATTCAATTAAAACCAAATCTGACTCCCCACCCCCCCTTTTTTTTTTTGGTTTTTCGAGCCAGGGTTTCTCTGTGTAGCTCTGGCTGTCCTGGAACTCATTCTGTAGACCAGGCTGGCCTTGAACTCAGAGAGATCTGCCTGCCTCTACCTCCTGAGTGCTGGGACTAAACGTGAGCACCACCACCACCCGGAGACATCAACTGATTTTAATAGAGACGCAGAATACTCATTTTAATAACCCGACCTTATACTTGTAAATGTATTTTTTGTTCTCAAAGTGGGGGATGTAAACGAATTTCAGGGAGCAGTTATCGCGTGTTTAGAATTTACTGATCAAGGCTAAAACAGCTCTGGGAGGTGGTGGTAGAGGATCAGAAGTTCAAAGCCACCCTCACCCTCTTTAGCAAGTCTGAGGCGAGCCTAGAAGGCCTGAGACCCACGTTGGGAAAGTGGCGGTGTGTGTGTGTGTGTGTGTGTGTGTGTGTGCGCGCGCGCGCGCGGTTCTACTCCATCGTCTTCGTAACTTTTTAAAAGACGGTTTCGAGTCAGTTAAATACCAGTTTAAACATCAGACTAAATCCTTACACACCAAGCCTTTATTTGCAGTGGTAATGGGAAATGAACAATGTAGTTGAGATGTTTGATTTCAACCCTCAGACAATGCCAAAGTTTTGAGCCATGATTTCACAGGGCCCCCCCTCCATTAACTTTTCGTTAGCCCAGCTGACGAGAAAAGAACAGAATGAGGCGACACCCCATTTGTTTTCCCAGGATCACCCTGTGGACCAGGCAAAAAGAAGGGTCTTGGCAGAGACACAGGGGGCACAAACAAGAGGTATGTCACAGTCTAAACTAAGACAGGCCATCCTGAATAAGAGAACTCTGGAACTCAAGGGAAGAAAGAGGAAGAAAAGAACAGTTTTGCATTTTCAGCCCTCGGACTCCGTTCCAGAATTCCGCAATGACTGCCAAAAGCAACGGCCTTGGAACCAATTAACCATCACCCGCGACCTTCCGCTTCGACTCCCAGGAGGAACCTCGTTCCACCTCGGTTTTGACTCTACTCCAGAGAGAGACACGGTGAAAGGAGAACGCATTGCAAGTGAGGGAATCGGAGACCCTGGGGGAGCAAGGGCGAGCTGGTCCGGGCAAACTCCGAGGAAGCGGCACGAGAGAGTGCTGGCGGCGCGGGAAGCACGGAGCCTGCCTAACTTAGGGATTTGATCCTGCCCCCACCCCCGCCCAGCCTGGAGACCCCACCCAGCCCCTCCGTTACCCTCGTCCCTGCCCCATACCTGTCTGCGCGGGGTCCCGGTGCGCAGCGCGCCGCCTCCATACCGTCCGGCCGGTGGCATCAGCGTCCAGACCCCGAGTCGCCGCGGCCCGGCTGGAGAGGATGGAGGAGGTCGGGCCCCGCCCCTGGCAACCACACCCCGCACTGTCGCCAACGCCCATTGGTCCACTGCCCGCCGCTCCCCTCTCACTGGCTAATGGCGCCAGCCGAGATGCTGGAGGGTTTCCAGGGGGCGGGAGCCACCGGGGAGGCGAAGGCGCGTGCGCGGGATGCGCCCCCCAACCCCGGGTTGGATCCCAGTTGGCCCTCGGGGGGGGGGTGTCTCCAGCTGCTGCATTCCTCGGCCGCCTCCCACAGAGCGACTCCCAGCACCCCACTGTCGCAACGAGAACACCCAGGGTGCTGCCAGGATTGTGGTCCAGGGGTTTACGAACTTCTGCCTCCAGAAGGCCGAGATGCCCAAGGCCTTCAGACTTCTACACCAGTCCTAACCCAAAACACGACTGAGGGAGCCCTACTTCGGGACCGTCTTCACATATCCTTATCCCTTAAGGGTAGCTGCTAAGCCTGTCCTCTCTGCAGTAACTCATGCCTCCAGCCATCAGTTCCTTTCTGGTTCTGGTCCCTACAGGACTTTCTGACTAAAGCTACTGCATGTAGACTTGAATTGTAAGGCCGAAGTTACCACACGGATGTTGAAAACAAATTTTCACTAAAAAAAAAAATTGATTATTTAGAAACAAGATCTCACTACATAGTCTGGCTGGCCTGGAACTCAGAGATCTGACTGCCTCTGTCCCCTTGTGCTGGAATTAAAGGCATGTGTCGCCATGTCCCAGTCTGTTAGTTTGTGTATGGATGGTATGTCTGCATACCATATGCATCCCTGGTGCCCAAGGCTCTAGATAGAACCTGTGCCTTCTGGGCATCCCAGACTCATAACCGCTGAGCCACCTCTCTGGGCCCCAGATTTAACTTTTGAAAACTAGGAAATATTGTACGTACGCAGACTAGGAGGCAGAACACTGCATGCACTTAGCCCCCTCCCTGGTTTGCTTTACTGTGCATCAAATTCTCATCCATATAAAGGGCAGCATAAGCTCTGCTTGGGCTAGCAGACGCTGGATGCTAAAAGGGAAGGGTCAAAAGAGATGCTGTTTGTATGAGTGAGAGGACCACTAAGACACCTGTCGGCAGAGGCAGCCCTTCCACCAACGGCCATCCACTTTGGGTAGTTACTGTAAGAATCCACTTCCCTACCGCAATTACTAGGAATGGCCATCCACTTTGGGTAGTTACTGTAAGAATCCATTCCCCGCCGGGCGGTGGTGGCGCACGCCTTTAATCCCAGCACTCAGGAGGCAGAGGCAGGCGGATCTCTTGTGAGTTCAAGGCCAGGCTGGACCAACAGCCTCCAAAACAATACAGAGAAACCCTGTCTCGTAAAACCAAAAAAAAAAAAAAAAAAAAAAAGAATCCATTTCCCTACCGCATGTGATATCGCCACTGCCATAAACAGAGTCTCAAAACACAAACCCACGCATCTGCCATATCTCCCCCCCCCCCACTGTATTCATCAACACAGGGCTTGTGACCCTTTGGGCAGGAGAGCCAAAGGTGTAAAGGTAGGTGTCAACCACTAAGAGCCAGATTTACTCTGATTTTCTCCATCAGTGGAAGCTGTCCCTGAGCCTTGAGATCAGAACCAAAACTTGTGGAATGAACCAAGCTTGAAGCAGATTAATTAGCACAGACCTTTTGTAAAGGCCACGCTGCTGCATGACTGACAGAGCAGGGTTCTCTACAAACTTGGAGCAGTCATTTATTTACAAACATCGCAAACCGTGCGAGATACTTTAGAGGTTTAAACAGTTAATATGAGAAAAGCAGCAACAGTTCAACAGCTCATGGCACTGAACTCAACTCTTTCCCATCCGAGGTAGCTTAAAAATCAAATCTAGAAACCGAATCCCAATTCCAGGCCTCTAGCTAAGTCTTCCTCCTTTTAGTGTTCACTCCGTTTCGTTCTTTCAAGCCAGAGAGATTTCGGAAACCACGACCGTCAGCAGCTTTGAGATGAACTGAAGTCCGTGACATCCAGTCAGATCTTCACAAGGAACTGGCTCTTGTCCAGCTTCCCTCTCGCTTTCAGGTAGGCAAACAGGTGCCTTCTGCGTCTCCATGTGACTTTTATCCCGTACTTCTCCTCAGGAGTGTCCTTGACCAGAACAGGCCCGGGCTCTGGGCTGCTGGGAATTCTGGGGCCCAGGATGCTGCCTGGAAGACGGTTTTCCTTCTGGTCTGGGGAAATGGAATCTTCCCTCACAGACGCCTCTGGGGTCTGGATATCAGGGGGCATGAACACATGGGGTAAGCTTTGAAGGGCATGCAGTGACGGCTCCCCACTGCTCTGGGGACTGAGCAGTGGCACTAAAGGCCTCCTGGGAGCGTCCTTTTCTGACTGACAGGGCTCTTCCCTGTTCACGGATATCAGCAGCGTCTCTGAACTGGAAGACTGTGGACTCTCAAAGGTTAGACATGGGAACTTGCAGGTAGATCTTCGAGTCAAGCGTCTTGTCTGGTCTCGGGAACGATGTTTCCGGTGCACTGGAAACTGGCTTTCAGCTGTTGTATCAAACTGAGGTAATACCTGTGCGTAAAGGGAAAAAAGGTAGTGGGTCACGTACTAAAGAAACTCTATCCAACAGACAGAATCCTCCTCTATTTCTGTCCAGAATCGTGAGGACTCACTGTAAGAAAGGACCCGAACCAACCAGCTACGTGATGCAGTAATAAGATAACGGCTTTGGGCACCTTCCAGGTTGCTCCCGAGGAAGAGAGGAGATGAGGTATTTGTCATCACCACACAACATTGCTATGGCTGTGGTTAAACTTCATGAGAGCCGACTGGAAGGGTGGGGGGAGGTAAGAGCTGTGCTTAGTACACTCAGTAGTTCAGTCCCCAGCAAAACACAGCCCTCAAGAGGGCAGGGACTCGGCTGGAGAGATGGCTCAGGGGGTTAGAACATTGATTGTTCTTCCAGAGGTCCTGAGTTCAATTCCCAGTGAACCACATGGTGGCTTACAACCATCTACAATGAGATCTGCTGCCTTCTTCTGGCTTGCAGACATACATGGAGGCAGGATGTTGTATTTACAATAAATAAATCTTAAAATAAAAAAGAGGGCAGGGAGCAACAGACTCATTCCCGACACCTAGGAAAGTTCCCGGCAAGAGGCCTTCAGCAAGCATGAATGGCAGCTACAAACAGGAAGTCAGACTGTGTTCAGAAATGGGATCTAGTACACCATGTTTATTCAGTCAATGCTTACGATTTTTTTCCCTTTTCATTTTAGACAGTACAGGCTGACCTTCAACTTGAGATCCTTCTGCCGCAACCTCCCAAATGCTAGGTGTGCCTCATAATGCCATTTCTGTAGGATTTTTCTTCATAAGGTTCAGTCCATCTGACCATAGAGTATCTAGTACTTTTCACATGAGTTGTAGGAAATATTCTCATTTATAAGCTTGCCATTTTTCTAACTTCTTTACTAAGTTACTGGGTAGCGAAATGCTCACTCAGAATCTTTTCAGAAGAACCTGTCAGGGAAGGCTCCAATTCCATATAACATGTATTTTGGTCTGAATGAAGAAAAGTAGTCATACCAGACAGGTCAGATTACCACAGTCAGAAAGAGTAACTGTCCCCGCTCCAAGAGTCTGTATTCTGAAAAGCCTAACACAGCAGGTCAAAGGACCTACCCAAGAAGTGATGGTGTCCTGATCAATGGGCTTGCTGGGCACCTGTACAGTGTGGGTAATGGGCTGCTGGAGCGATTCATAATGTTTGGGGCCCTTCAGTGGCTGTTGGTGGAATAGCAGCTGGGCTTTGCAGGACTGTCTTTGGCGTCTCTTTTTGGGAGGCATCAATAGGTAAATGAAGAGCATTTAGTAACCACATGATGCAGGTTTCCTTCCTGGTCTGGGTCGGGGTCCAGTTGCAAACCATGCCTGTAGAGAAGATACAAAAGCTGGGAGAAAAAGTGTGGGTGAGTCCCTGTCCTTCATGACACATGCTAGTCTACCCCCCAAAAACTACCATTCAGACTCGGGTTGGGGGAAAACAGTTTCCTCTACCACCTCACAAAAGACATTATCTCAACATCACTCAAAAAACACCTGCTGAACACACTGTACCATGCTGAGCACTAGGAATTAAAGATGGACAAGTAGGTAGTCAACAGTCACTCACTGAGCGCTAAGTACCTGCAGTGATACAGAGGTCCCTATTTTTGAGGAGCTGGGGGTATAGCACAGTGTTGCAGCATTTGCCTAAAATGCACAAAGCCTGAGCTTCAATCCCCAGCACTGCAGAAAAGAAAAAGCGGGAAGGAAGGAAGGAAGGAAGGTGGGAAGATGGGAAGGAAGGAAGGAAGGAGGGAGGGAGGGAGGGAGGGAGGGAGGGAGGGAGGGAGGGAGGGAGGGAGGGAAGGAACTGAGAGTTTAACGGAAGGAAGCCATTACACTTCAGTATAACACAGCTTCAACTCACTTCAGAGAAGGCTTTCTGAGTGGGAAGACACCTAACCTGGGAGTGAAGCAGGAAGCTCACTCCAGGCTGAGGAGCACCACAGGCAAAGATGGTCATAGCTGGGCCTGGGGAATCACTCGAATCATCCCGACCGAGGCAAGAGGATCAGGAGTTCAAGTCTAGCTTGGACTATGCACAAAAACCTAGCTGCAGCTGGGTGTCAGCGGTGGCACCTTTAATTCCAGCACTCGGGGGCAGAGGCCAAACCCAACCCCCAAAAGGTGGCCTCGGACACCCACCCACATCACTCACAATGTCAGTATCTGTGAGTGTCTAGCTAACAAAATAAAAAGGGAACAAGGATAGGTATAGTAACAGAGTTTAAATCTCAGCACTCAGGAGGCAGATCTCTGAGAGTTGGAGCCCAGCCTGGTCTACATAGTGAGTTCCGTGACAGTGGAGGACACACAGGGGGCCCCTGTTTTAAAGTAGTGATTTTAAAGGATGAGTGGCAACAACAATAGTAAGATTAGACATGTTGAGTCAACACTGGGTCAGGAAAACCAGGTGAGGCCAAACGAGTGTGGAGCTGGGTTGAGTAGTCAGAGATTTTCAAATAGAAGCTTGTGATCACATCCCGATTTGTTTAAAAAAAAAAGAAAAAGAAAATCATCAGCCGGGCAGTGGTAGTACATGCCTTTAGTCTCAGCACTTGGAAGCAGAGGCAGGCAGATCTCTGTGAGTTTGAAAACAGCCTGGTCTACAGAGCAAGTTCCAGGACAGACTCCAAAGCTGCACAGGGAAACCCTGTCTCAAAAAAAAAAAAAAAAAAAAAAAAAAACAAACAAACAAAAACCCAAAAACAACAAACTAAACACCCCTCAGACTGTCTTAAATATAGAGATGTCAACTGAGTCACACAATTAGCTCCCATGTACTGACCACCCCGGTGGTTCATTCCTGACCATATCTATACTTGCTAATTTTGCTAATATCCTCTACACTCGAATGATTTTGAAGAAAATATATTCCTTTGATTTTCAGGTTGAGCCTCAGGCCTCACCACCTTAGGCAGTAACTGTACCACTGCCACTATATATACCGGCCCTCTTAATAATTGTTTTGACTTTTTTAAGACAGGGTCTCAACATCGCACAGACTGGCTTCAAATTCGCTTCTGCAGTCTCTGCCTCCCCAGGTGCTGGGATTACAGGCAAGCTGCACGCACTAGGTGCTTTTCCTTTTGTTGTTATAAAACACTCTGGGGAAAGCAAATTAAGGAAGGACGGGCTATTTTGGCTCACGGTTCCAGCGTACAGTCCTGTGTGTTGGAGAAGACATGGCAGCCGGGACTTGAAGGCAGCGGGCAGGAAGGAAGTGAATGAATGTGGGCTGGTTTTTCCCTTTTTAGGCAGTTCAGGTCCCCAGCCCACAAAATGGGAGCAAGCACATTCAGGGCGGGGTCATCCCACCTCGGTCTAATCTAGATAATCTCTTTCACACGTGCCCCAACAAAAAACGTTAAGTCAGGTTTTGCTCAACCTTTGCCTCTTTAATTTTGAGATAGTGTCTCACTACGAGGCTCTGGCTCACCTGGAGCTATGTATATCTGGCTGGCCAGGAATTCACAGATCCGGCTGCCTCTGCCTCCTGGGTGTCGGGATTAAAGTCGAGCACATTATGCTCATCTTACTTTTTCAGGCAGGGTCCCGCCATGTAGCCCGGAATGGCCTCTAACCCAGAATCCTCTCGTGACCCTAGGATTATTAGTTTGCGCCATTTGCCTAGGGGCCTGCAAGTCTTGATTGGTTTCCTTTCATTATTAGATAAGGGCAAAACTCAGGAAGGCTGAGGGGCCCCCGCTTCCTGTCTCACAGCATACAGCACTCCTTCGCCTCAGTTCAAATCTCTGTGACCTTCATTCAACCTCCGTACTCACCAGGCCTCCTCCAGTGAAAGCAGCCTCAGTCATTATCCTATCTGCTTCGAAGGATTCCCTCCTTTCTGTGTAATGGGTAACAGATCTTACAGCACGTCTCGATTTACTTAGAAAAAAAGGGGGGGGGGGGGGGACCTTCCCAGTCCTAAGTCAAGACTTCCTCATTAAAATAAATACTCAATATTCAGACTATCACAGGAGGCTGCGAGAGGGCCTGCCAGTGGCGCCAGCTACTCCGAAGGCAGAGACACGAGGATCGAGAATTCTACACCTGGGGAGACCTTGTGTGAAACAAACCCCACCGGCCTCTAACTTGTTCCTCTGTGGCTAGAATTCTACGGATCTCATTCTGTGCTCCCTCTCCACCAGGCGGACGGCGGGGCCCGGGAGGGGACGCCCCGCTCTGCCACGGTGGCTCCCGCTAAGGCAGGCCGAGTAAGTACTGGAACATCAGTCTCCCTCGAGGCTGGCCGGGGGGAGGAGGCAGGCCACGGGCAGGGGCGGGGCGTAGGACGTGCGACCGTGGGGACACGCAGCACCGACGGCCGTGCCGGCTCGGGGGCCCGGGGGTGGCACAGAGGCTGGCTCGCCGGCTGAGTGACGTGCGCGGCCCCGGAAGGAAGTCGGCCGCGGAGGCTCCCAGGGAGGGCCGGGGCGGAGCGGACCGCCGGCCGCCGTCCGCGCGTCCCCGCGTCCCTCCCGCCGCCCCTCGAGCCCCGGGGTCGCCTTACCCGCCCTCCCGGCCGCGGCCGCCGCTCCTCAGGACGCCGAGCGTTCGGGGCCGGAACCCGGAGACAAGCCGGTGCCGATTGGCGACGCTCCGTCACGTGACCGCAACGCTCCGCCGGCGCCAATTTCAAACAGCGGAACAACTGAAAGCGGCGCTGCGGGACCCACCCCCCGGCCCGGGCTTCAGCCCCACCCGGCCCCGGCCTCCCGCCCCGGACATCCCGCCGGGTCCCGCCGCCCGGGCCTGGCTCGGCCCCGCGTGGAGCAGCCGCGGCGTGTGAGGTGAGTGCGGTGCAGGAGGAAGTCCTGGGCCCGGCCGGGCCGGGGGAGGGCTCGGAGCCGGGACTGCCGGGTCTGCGGGGCGCGAGGGGGTGTCGGGGTCCGCCGGGAAGAAGGTCTGAGCCGCCTGCCTCCGTCCTCCCGCCGCGTTCTCCCAGCACCCGGGGACCCTGGGAACAGGCCGGCCCCCTGAGTCTGCACACGCAGCCAACCCTGCCTCCGCCTCCACCGTTGCGGGGCGGGATCCTAGCTGAGTGTTGCTGCAAGGTTCCCGGTACAGGGTGGAGAATCGGGTCCCTGGGTGACTCTGCAAGTCGCCTCCGGTTGGAAGGTATTGGGAGTATTAGGAAGAGGCTGGTCAAGGAGAAGAAATGCCCTGGGGTGGGGGTGGGGGTGTCTGCTGCTTGATTGGGGTGGAGTGCAATGTGAAACAAATTGGAAACTGAGATTTGAAGGTAGAGAAGACGAAATATAAAGGAGAGGCAGCCACAGGGTGGAAGGGACCTGAAGACTCTAAGCAGCTGGCAAATGTCAAAAATGGGTAATCCTTTTTTGGCAGGTGTCCTAAAAAAAGAGACAGCTGGTTTCTGTTTCTCAAGGGACCTCAAGGTAGAAAGAATAACAGGATTTAACCTACTGATAAGTTATTTTACATATATCTATAAAAATCTATGAGCTGCTGCTCCTAAAGAAAAGACTGTCCTTAGCATTTCAAAGCCACTTTAGCATAGCAAGGCCTGTAATCTCAGCACTGACTCAAGTGGAGGCCAAAGGCTCGACAGTTCAAAGCCAGCCTGGGCTACATGAGACTCTGTCTCAAAAATAAAAGCCACCTTAAGCACATTGATAGCACAAACTAGTAGGGAGGAGATGGGCATTACAATCTTACTTTGAAGCAGAAAACTAAGGTGTAAAAGTAACATATTAACAGTTAAAATGCCATAAATACTTACAAGTATGGAGATATCACTGTGCAGATGGTTTGCAGATTTTGAAAGAAAATACACTTTAAAAAACTAATGTAACGGACTGGAGAGATGGCTCAGTGGTTACGAGCTCTTGGTACCATTCTAGAAGAGTTTGTTTGTTTGTTTTTTAATTGAAGAGGACTGGGGATTTTCTTGTAGAGTGCTTACCAAGAATTCACAAAGCCCAGGGTTCAATTCCCAGCACCACAGAGAAACCTGGCATTGTGGTCACACCTGTGACTCTAGCAGGTGGAGGCCGGAGAATCAGAAATGTAAGGTCAACTGCATTGTTTGAGACCAACATAGGCCAGAAGAGACTACGACTCCTCCCAGAAAAGGGCACTGGGGATGTAGCTCAGTGGTCGAGTCCTTGCCTACCGTGTGTGGAGCCCTGAGTTCAATCACCAGTACTGGAAATGTGAAACAGGACTGCACAATCTGCACAACTTTGCCGCCGGCGTTAAATAGGGAAGTTTCCCCCTTTAGAGGCCTTGCCGACTAGGAGGTGATTTCTCAGGTGCCTCTGACAGTGTCACTGAACCTGTGACCTGCAGATATAAACTTTATCAAGGCTTTGTCATAGAATGGGCTACAGAGTCGGGGTTTTGTCAGGACTCCTAAATGCCACTTGCCCATCCATTCTCTCGTCTCTCATCCTTCTCTGCAGCCATTGCAAGTGATCTTCTGAATTCTGGGGGATGTGGCAGCGTTTCCGTGTTGTTATAGATGTCTTCTCACTTATTCCATTGCCCAAACATTTATGGGGGATTGCCCACGTGCTACAGCATGTATGTGGAGGTTGGAGAACAACACTCAGGGGTTGGTTCTCTCCTTTTATCATTGTGGTCCCGGGGATTGAATTCAGGTGTCACGCTTAGTAGTAGGCGACTTAACTCACTGAGCCATCTTGCCAACCCCACACAATCTGTTTGTTTGCTTTTTTGTAGTACTGGGAACTGAACCTAGGGCCTTACACAAGCTAAGCGATATTCTATCACTAAGATATATGTATCTCTGGCCTGGCCAAACTTTCTTAAGCTTCTAGGAGATCATTGACTCCAATCCCATGTTCCCTGTTCCCCTCTTGAATTGTTTGTTGACTGTAATCTTTAGCTTTCCTTGGTCAGAAGTAGGGTTTTATTTGTTTTGAGACAGCATCTCATGTGGCCCATGCTGACCTTGAACTCACTGTCTAGCTGAGAGTAGGTTCTGGGATTACAAGTATACAACAAACCCAGCTTCTGGGTTTGGCAGGCCCAGGCAGCATTCCCCTGGGCCTCTGAGCTTCTGCTTTTGGCCATTCATGCAAAGGACCACTTCCAGTGTGTCTCAGCTCAGCAGATCTGTGACACCAAGCTTCTTGTCCTCTGCAGGGTCAATGCTTGTGATTCTCAATGGAGAGTGAGAGCCCAGCTTCATGATGAGAACCAGCCCCCGTCGGCCACTGATTCTCAAAAGACGGAGGCTGCCCCTTCCCATTCAAAATGCCCCAGGTGAAACACCAGAGGAAGAAGCAAGGAGACCCCCTGCCCAGCAGGAGCCTACTCAAGCACAGGCCTCCCGGGAGGTGGCAGAGTCCAGTACTTGCAAGTTTCCAGATGGAATCAAGATTATCAACCACCCCACCATGCCCAACACACAGGTGGTGGCCATCCCCAACAATGCCGACATCCAGAGCATCATCACGGCACTGACGGCCAAAGGGAAAGAGAGTGGCAGCAGTGGCCCCAACAAGTTCATCCTCATCAGCTCTGGGGGGGCCTCAGCTCACCCTCCTGCTCCCCAGCCTCAAGCCCAAACCAGCAGTGATTCCAAGAGGACGGAAGTGATCACCGAGACATTGGGACCAAAGCCAGCCGCTAAGGGTGTGCCCGTTCCCAAGCCACCTGGAGCCCTTCCAAGGCAAAGACAGGAAAGCTGTGGTATGTGACTTATAAGCAAAGGGGTGTGGAGGCTGGCCCTTCTCCTCACTGGTAAGACCTGCTCTGCAGTCAGCCATGCTGGCGTCTGGTAGACAGGAGTCTAGGAGGGATCAAGGCAAAGGCTTGCTCTTCTTTATCCTGGAACTTTGAGCAGACCACCTGGGCACTGTTGAAAGGGTTACAGTAATGTAGCCTTCCCACCACTCTTTTTATATGGAAAACGATTTGTGGATTGGCTGGCTGGCTGGCTGGCTGGCTGGCTGGTTTGGTTTATTCTTTGTATTGACTTGTGTCTTAGTCACCGTTCTATTGTTCTGAAGAGACACCGTAACCAAGGCAGGAAACTCCTATGAAAGAAAGCATTTCACTGGGGCTTGCTTACAGTTTCAGAGGGTTAGTCCATGGCCATCACGGTGTGGGCATGGCAGCATGCAGGCAGGCCCTGGAGCAGTAGCTGAGAGCTACGTCCTGATCTGTGGGCTGACAGAGGCAGAGAGAACCTGGGCCTGGCATGGACTTTGGAAACCTCAAAGCCCGCCCACCCCGTGTCACATTTCCTCCAACACTTCTAATCCTTCTTCCCAGTCCTTTGAAATGGTGCCACTCACTGGTGAGGAAGCATTCTAACATCTGGGTGTAAGGGGTCATTCTTACTCACACCACCGAGACTTGTAAGGAAGTAAACGTCCATCTGAAAGTGACAAACGAGCCTGGGGAAGAGCGGTGACCGTCTTGTGCAGCTTTCTAAAAACTGCCTTGACAGATGCCCAAGGTTCCGTCTGGCTCATTGAAATGTAGTTCAGTGCTCCTGAATTTCTCCTTAAGTCTGTCATGGAGCAGAATGACTTAACTATGTGTTCCCTGCTCCTAAGAGTGTGGGTCTTGGCCGGGCGGTGGTAGCGCATGCCTTTAATCCCAGCACTCGGGAGGCAGAGGCAGGCGGATCTCTGTGAGTTCGAGGCTGGGCTGGACCGACAGCCTCCAAAACAATACAGAGAAACCCTGTCTCGTAAAACCAAAAAAAAAGTGTGTGGGTCTTGGAGGGGTTAAAAAAAAAAAGTGTGTGGGTCTTGGAGGGGTTATCGCCAACCATTGATTTTGATGGAGGCTCAGGGCTTCTCAAGAGGCTGCTAAAGGAGTCTTGGGTTGTTTTCCTTCTAGCCGGTGGTGAAGCAGCAGGCTGCACGCTGGACAACAGCTTAACCAACATCCAGTGGCTTGGGAAGATGAGTTCTGACGGGCTGGGCCCCTGCAGCATTAAGCAGGA